AAATTTTTTTATTTTGCGAACTGATAGTATTAAGGATCTTGGAGTACTTATCGATTCAAAGCTTCACTTTCATCAACATGTAGATATTTTATTTTCACAAACTATGAAATTACTAGGATTAATTCGCACCATTACGTTTTCCTTCTCTACCTTAGACAGTCTTTTGATGCTGTATACTGCTTTAATCAGATCCAAACTGGAGTACGCTTCTGTTGTTTGGAATTCGATAACGAATACTGACTCCAGCAAACTTGAGCGTATACAAAGAAAATTTGCAGCTCTCTGTCATAATAGATTTTTTAAAGATATAGATTATCATTATTTTAGTATTTTGGATAAACTAAATCTGCAAACCTTGGATGTCAGACGGCGTCATATTGATGCTTTGTTTTTAATAAATGTTTTTAGAGGCACAACATATTGCTCCTCTGTCCTTGATGCGGTCGGTTTGCGGGTTCCTTCTCGGAACATTCGAAATTTTTCTACATTTAGCTGTTCTTTCAGTCGCTGTCCCACAGCTAGATGTGTTGTTGCTGCAAATTTTGTTTGCGAACTTGTAGACATTTTTAGTAAATCTAGTTTAAGTTTGAATTGTTTAGTTTGATAATTTTTGTACTTTTGGTTGTTTTTTACTATTTGCACTGTCTTTTTAACTTGTCACTGGCTTTTGAGCTAAGTATGCAATTAGTTTTCTGCTGTTAATTGTTTTTAATTTTCCAAATACTTAACGTTTTTGACCTGTTATTATCTATGTGTTTATTGTCTTGATTTTTATTATTGTCTGTTGTTTGTTGTTTTACTTTTTCCGTGCTGACTCTGTAATTGGCCTCCGCTGTTGAGCTCGGCACGTAAATAAATAAAGCATTGAATTGAATTGAATTGAATTATTATTATTAATCGGTAAATGAGGAACCAGTGCACAATAATAATTAAGTTAAATTCTTATTTATTGGCGTGCCAACTCCAAAGCCCAAGGACCAGTTACAAGTGAGCACGAGCGAAAGAAAGAAAACAAAGCACAAATCAAAGTAATAATAATAATAATAAGCTATTAAAAATGTGGGAGCCTTGACGCCTCACAACCCTCTGAGCCACCACGGCCCGCCACAGGGACAGCTTCAAGCTTTATTCCCATTTATGTCAAGTGTCTGTTAATGCCTTGTCAACTTCTCCGGTTAATTGGTGTAACGTGTTAATGTCTCCCCTACATTTAATTGCATGAGACACACATAAAGACAATGAATTAGCTTTGAGATACCACATTTATGGACCAAATATAAGAATATCTTCAGGTATTGATCAAACTGTGCAGTTCAGCTGGAAATCTGACACTCGTGTAATTTATGATCCCTCCTTTGTAAGCTATGTACTTTTACAGCTGTGAGTTTATAAAGAAGTATTGGAGGATGACAGAAGCTGAGAACTGAACGTGTATGTCCCAATGTCCTGTACAAGTCCATTAACCCCTCTAACTTAATTTATAGTTTCAGAACAGACCAGAAAGGGCTCCCGCCGCCCCTCCACACACGGACCCTGATAGGGAAGGACGCCAAGGGATCCGGGGGCCCACCCAAAAGAAGCAAATGTGGCGCTATTAGAAGCAAGCAAAGTAAATGCGTCCCTGTAACAGGCCGTGGAGGCCTATAGGGTGGTGAGATGTGGAGGTTCCCACATTTTCTAGACAGTCGGCTCATAGATGGCGATAAGGTTACCAGGCGTATATAACTATTAAGGGCTGCAACGTATACCGGGACCTACTAAAGCTAAAATACAACGATAACTATAGAAACAAGCCAAACACCCCAAACGCCAACAGACATACTCACCTACAAACGCAAAATCAACAAACTGCAATCAGTTATAGTCAAGCGGCGGCCAACAACATAACACCTCAAACAGGCAATAACTCAGAACTCGGTAATCTGATGGGAAACTTCCTCCATGAATTCAAGAGCATGTTCAACCAACTCATAAACCAGAACAGCATGATAATAAACATGCTTACCATTATGATGAGCAAACTATCACATTAACGGCAACTTCCGTTCGAATTGCAGTCTGGAATGCACATGGGCTAGCTAATCATTTGCAAGAAATTATACTGTTCCTAAACATAAACTTATTCGACATACGACTAATCTCTAAAAGCCATGCCACGGACCGAACCGTCGTTAAAATACCTAACTATAATATATACTACGCCGATCACCCAGACGGAACAGCCCACGCATGATCAGCCGTAATCATCACATCCAAACTGAAACACCACGACCCAAACTATGAACCTGTAGCACTAATTGGCAACTCTTTCAAGAAACCATACAAAACAACATAATATTAAACCAGAGAATACAGGAAATCCAAGAGCTGGAAGAAGCAGTGCACTGTTTAACCAAACTAATTCAAGAATCTGCATGGAAAGCGACACCACCCCCCAGAAAAATGGTACCAAAGAGTCAAAACATACCTCTACACATTCGAGAACTGGTAGCGGAAAAAAGAAGAGCGCGTCGAGAAAGGTAAAGAACAAGAAACCCTCTGGATAAGGCGTCCCTCAATAGACTAACTCATCAACTTCATGCCACAATACACGCACAATCAACCCATAACAACACCTTTCGAGAGTACTTAACAAATTTAACTCCAGATGACCACTCACTGTGGAAAGCTATGAAGAAGTTCAAAAGACCCACCATAGCAACCCCACCAATTAGAACCCCAGACAGAACACGGGCACGAACTGACCACGAAAAACAGAATACCTTCGCTGCTTACCTCGCAAAGATCTTTTCACCTGTCGAATCAGACAACACCGATCGATCCGAAATCTTCAACTTCCTCGACGCCCCTTGTCAATTGTCTCCTCCAGTAAGATCCTTTTCACCAAAAGAAGTTTACCAAGAACTCCTCAAAACAAACTCCCATAAGGCACCAGGATTCGACCTAGTAGTTGGTGATATCCTCAAACATCTTCCCCCAAAAGCAATTGTGCTTCTTACAACGATATACAACAGCATGTTAAAGCTCTGTCACTACCCAATACAATGGAAAATCGCCCACGTGATCATGATCGCAAAGCCCGGTAAATCACAAACAGAAGATTCATCCTATCGCCCAATCAGCTTTTTACCCATGATGTCCAAAATTTTCGAGAGACTGCTATTAAACAGATTACAAAACACGATGGCAATGGAAGAAATCATCCAACATCACCAATTCGGATTTAGGCACAACCACTCAACAATTCAACAGTGCCACCGAATGGTTCATCAAATAAAGGACACCCTGGAGGGTAAGAAGATGTGTGCGTCAGTGTTCTTGGATATTCAACAAGCCTTCGGTAAAGTATGGCACGAGGGACTACTATACAAATTAAAAACTATCGTACCCAGCCAAATATGTCTGTTACTTAAAACATACTTAACTGATCGCTACTTTCAAGTTAAAATAGAAAATACACACTCTGAATATTACCCCATCCAATCTGGGGTACAGCAGGGTAGCGTCCTTGGCCCCTTCCTATACCTGATCTTTACTTCAGGTATCCCACAGTCACAAGAAATAACCCTGGCCACATTTGCAGATGACATTGCAATCCTGTCCTCCAATACAAACCCCAAGAGAGCGTCCGAAACATTACAGAA